AACGCAGACTATTTTCAGACCTTGAATGATTGAACGTTTTCTGTCCTGAGTTTTTGGCTGGAACTGAGGGGCTGCCCACTGAGAGCCAGGGCGTCTGCGACTTCCCTTTCTGTACTTGAATGTTCTGTGGGCGCTCGGTGTCCTTGGAGTCCCTCAAGCTGCTGCCCTTGCCTGCGTGGGTGGACCAGCCTTGGGCTTGCACCCCGTCCTCTCTGCAGACCGGTTCACCCCTGTCTTGGCCGGTCCAGCCCCAGCATTCCTTTCCCCTCTGCTGCTGTGCCTGAGCCACGTTCTCCTAGGTCTCACCTGTTTCCTCACTTTGGTTGAAGCCACTAGGGGTAAAGGACTCATAGATGACCCACCAGAACCAGCTGTTAGCTAGTTTTCTCCTCTGACATCAAAAGAAAAGCCAAGGAAAAGTGGCTTCTAACTTGGAGAGGGTGCCACAGTCACCCAACCCCACTGCCTGCCACCCACCTGAGTGACAGAAGGTAGGATCCATCTGTTTGCTGCAATGTGACTGGATCACCGAAAAACAATTAGCAGGTGGGAAATTTATTTTCCAGGACACACATAAACCAGCCATTATAGGGAGGATTCTGGTGCTAATTTAGATGCAAATGGAGTTGCCCAACTAGAGCTGATTACAGAAAGGTCAGGATGTCTGTATGCTCAATTTCACTCCTACGCATTAAGTTAATGTGCTGCTGCAATTGTGGGCATGATGGCTGCGCCTGGGTCTGGCCTTAATTTTTTTTTTTTTTATAGAGTTTTGATTTTATAGAAGTGGAAGGTGACACATGGTGTCACCTCCTCCACCCATCTCCTTTTAAAAAAGAAAACAAACTGTCCATTTATGAAAAACTTGAAATTCTAATAAAAAAGATACACTTGGAGTTCTTAGGCAAAGGTAAAAAGGAGTTAAGTTGACTGAAAACTCAGTTGATATACTGTTCGGAGGACTGATATCAAGCATGTGTGCACTTCTTCCAGGCCAGAGCATGTTGGGTTATATCCTGGAGGATAGGCCCTGGGGACAAGCTGGTGGGTGATAGAATGGGAATTGTGCCAGATGTTCTCGACTCCTTGTGGTCAGAAATGTGTTTTGTGCATTTTCATATGTACATGTATAGATCTGTGCATATACATATATATATTTACTGGAAATATGAGCAAAGCACATATAAATGATACTGAATTTTATGTATTTCCAACAAAATATATGTGCAAATGTTTCACAAAACAGCACTTGCTCTTACTACAATCAGTGTATGTTAACATTTTCTGTTTGAATCTAGTCTAAACTGTTAGTGAACCAATAATACATTGAATCCACTCACCCACTCTTGGGTGTGAAACTGTCCTTTCAAAAGCACCCATTTAGGAGATTAGCAAAGGCACCTGGCATGAAGAGGGACCCAGACAAGGGCTGGAGGAGGTCAGAGAAAATGGGTGAAGATTTTATTTCAAAGGATGGATAGAAATTGGACTTGACTAATAAAATCAGGTACCTAAGTCAGAGACCTCTTCTCGAACTTGGTCTGAAAAATAAGCACATCAGAGTGCTCACACAGATGGGTTCTGAAGGTCTAATTGTCCTTATCTTGCCAAGGACAGTTATTTGAGGAAACCCAGTTTTCTTTAGGCCATTTTGGTCATTGTGGTCCGCTGTTGGTATGAAGTAACATTCGTATCCTTAAACTTTATTACTGATGTGATGTGGTGCTAAGGTGCGGTTTCTGTGTAAGCTCATACCTACCTGCAGTTCATGTGGGAACCAGTCAGTGGACGTTGGGGTCATCTGTGAGACATGGTCTTCCCTACACTCACACTCAGTGTCCTTTGTCCCTGGAGCACGAGGTCTGCTGTCTTCCTGTCTGGCTCCTGCCACGTCAGGGCCGTCGTGGAGGATTCCGCGTTACATTCTGCACAGCAGAGCATCTTTCCTCTGGTGGTTTCTCGTCAGCTCTCAAGTGATCACACTCAGGCTCTGGTCTCATCCTTGTTCAGGAGGTTGCCTATTGGGAGGGATTAGAAAAAGTTTCTGAAAGTAAGATAATGGGGCAGGAGAAGATTTTCCTGGATAAAAGGCTTCTAAAGGCTCCCAGGACGTGGTGGGGAGAAGAGATGGGAAGGGAACCAGATTTTCCTGGTTAGAGTATTAGTTTAAGGTGAGTGTGACCTTGATTTATAAAGAGTTTGCAACTTGATACTTAGTGAAATTGGGTCTTTAATATTTATAGCCTGTTATGTAAACCCTGCTCCTCCAAGTCTCCCTTAAATCCTCTTAGCTTATTAATGACAGCTTTGATTTCTAAAAAGAAATCAAATCTTCCATTTATTCAGCCTAAGAGTAGTAAACAATAGCTGCTTAATGCCCTCCTTTCATGTTAGCCCCCCAAGACTTGGGCTTATGTTCTAAGGAGTTTATTGCTGGGCTTTTGAGCTTATTAAGGTCATGTGTAACTTAAGGGGGAAAATCTGATGATGCATGATTGGTACAAAAGCAGCTCCTTGAATTCTGCGTGACATGTCAGTTCAGCTGTGTCGGTAGTTAAGTTGAAACTATGGTATTAAAGAACTGCACACGTGGCCTATTTGGAAGGATTACACAGTTGTACTTTTTTTCTAGTGATCAGGCTCACTAGGAAATTAGACTTCTGCCTAAATCATTTTGGATTAACTTTCTGCTGAACAGCCCAAGGTTGCAGTAGTCAAGTGGATGTGAGATAATGGGACTACATGTTTGGAGTGGTTGGGTTCATTTGCCCCTAGGTATGCTTCATGACACCCATTATTTTAGAGTTATTTATAAAAGAAAGTTTTTTGGGCTGGGGGCGTAAGTTAGTGGCAGAGTGCTTACCTCGCACTTGCAAGGCCCTGTGTTCAATCCCCAGCACCTTCACCCACCCCCGCACCCCCCAAAAAAGTCCTTAGTTTTCTGGGCTGTCAGGATACACATAGAAAATAAGTAAGAACTTAAAGATAAGCTCAACTCTGGCAAATGTAAATCACTAGATCCTTAGGGGCTATTGTTCACTCAGGAGTAAGTACTGACTGTATACCAGGTTTGGACACGGGACTGGAGTAATGAAGAAAAAGACACAGTGTGTCCTGGGACAGCATTAGAAGTGCCACGCACATAGGAATCGCATGGACAGAAGCAGTTTGTTGGAGGAGCAGGAGCAGTTTAGGAGAAGCACTCCTCTCAGTGTGGGCACCTGCCAAGTGCTTGATGCTTCCCTGTTTCCACAGGTGTGTTTGGGCTACAGGCTACTTTCAAGACAGTCAGATGAGCATGGCATGTTGAATTTTGAGGCTCCCACTGGTGGTGCCGACCTGGGGGAAGTCTGTACTCTGGGGCTTTGCCCAGGCCACTTGGGGAACTGCCGTGTGAGTTTGAGTAGATTCTAGAAGAGCAAATACAAATGGACTTCACGAGCATGCCTTGTTTAGAATAAAGAAAGCAGACTGCTGATTTGGTAATATCTTATCCACCTGGACTCATCTTTCTAGAACAGCTGAACACCAAGAACTTTTAAAAAAGTAACTTGAACAGCCAAAATAGATAGTGCCAAGCGTTTACGCACAGATGTATCACTCAGGGCCTATCTGCACGTATCTAGCAGCTCTGGACATCTGGTTTCTAAACTCATCTGTGGGTTTTGAAAGCTGAGAATTAAAAGTGGAAGAGGAATGTAGTATAAAAGGAAAAGCACAGTAATAGTATAATAAAGTGATAGCTACCACTTTTAAAGGGAGGAAGAAAGAAGATAAACCAGAAAAGAGACAATATAATCCCTCAAAAAGTATTGCCCTCTGTTTCATTTGGAATCAAGTCCATTGGACTCACGGCAGGGAGCTTTCTAAGATTTCCAGGGTGTGCCTTTTGGAATCTGAAAGCTCAAACCATTTCTTTGGTGATTTTCTTGCATTTGAGTCTGGATGTTTCTGTACCCAGGTAGAGCAAGTGATGACCCTGGCAGTGACTGCTAATCATTAAGACATATGTTACGTCACACTTTTAGGAGAATAAAGAAGCATGTGCTCCTTAAAAAATTTCCAAAAAGAAATTTTTTTTTGTACCAGGGATTGAACCCAGGGGCACTTAACCATTGAGCCTCATCTCCCACCCTATTTTGTGTTTTATTTAGAGACAGGGTCTCACCGAGTTGCTTAGGGCCTTGCTAAGTTGCTGAGACTGGCTTTGAACCATGATCCTCCTTCCGCAGCCTCCAGAGCCGCTGGGAATACAGGCATGTGCCATAGCATCTGGCCCCAATCAAAATGTTTAAGGTTCAGATTTTGATGCTTCAAGCATGATATCTTCAGTTCTTTGAAAAACTAGACCCTTCAGAGTCTTATTCACTGAGAGATTGATATTTTACTGCATGGGGAAAATCATATAGGTTAGAACATATTAATTTGTATTATAAAAAGTCACAGTTACTTTATTAAGTAGTAAGTGCTTGTAGTACTTTGTAATAATACTATAAAAAGTTGACTTGAAACTCTCCAGAAACATGTTTGAACATCTGTAGCACTTGGTACCTCTCCTTTGCACTTTATTGTATTATCATTTTGTTTGTTATGGTCCATGTTCCTGGATATAAAATATGTTCCATGTTTCCAGCTGCTTTTACATAGTAGATCCCAGTAAATATTTATTGCATGACTAATAATGAAACAAGTTACATCAGACTTTCTGATTAACCCTTTACTAACCATGTAAATACTTTTCATAATCTTTTTTCCCCATTTTTGATTACACGTATTTGAACCGTATCTGATGAGTAGAGTTTTCATAACACTTGAATTGCTTCTTTCCACTTTTTTTTTTCATTGAATCGAAGCTTGGAGGCAGCCTGAGGTGTTCTGCCATGTGAGTAGGTGGTGGGCACCTTTGTCTCGCCTGTCCTGCAGTGGCCAGTGCTGGGCTTGGGGAGGCAGTGTCGCAGCATGGAGAGGCACTCACCTGTGCTCACTATCTTCCGTCCCAGGTGACTGTGGAGGAGGTCATGACCACAACCGCCTACCTGGACCTTTTCCTGCGCAGCATCTCCGAGCCAGCACTGCTTGAGATCTTCCTCCGGTTTATCCTGTTGCACCAGCACGAGAATGTCCACATTCTAGACACTCTCACCAGCCGAATCAACACCCCATTTCGGGTAAGGAGAGCCCAGGAGGAAGGGAACTTGTCACTTGGATTCCGGGAGAGTTTGTTTTGGTAATGACATTATGAATATTCTCTCTTCTTTCCTTCCCTAGTCTTCCCCCACCCTTTTTTTCTTTTTCTCTCACATCCATTACCTTCTTTTTAATTGTATAGAGATTAATTGGATTTATTATTCTATTAAGAGCCTTCCCACTTACTGTTTTTCACAGGAGATCTTTCTCGGTTTGTCTGAGTTAGCTCTTCTGTAGAATTAGCAGAAGGCACTTCTCAAGGGGCAGGATTCTGGAGAACATAAGACCTTAAGTCCAGGTAAAACCAAGGAACCAGTGTCAAGTCTGGATGTTAGAGATCATATTTCTTTCCATGCATATTTTGAAGTGAAAGTCTGAGAAGTTGGGAACCCAGGGTCACTTCACCACTGAGTTATATCCCCAGTGCTTTTTAATTTTTTTTTTTTTTTTTTTAAGTTTTAAGACAGGGTTTCTAAATTGCTGAAGATCTGGCTAAGTTGCTGAGGCTGGCCTCAAACTTGCGATTCTCCTGCCTCAGCCTCCTGGGTCACTGGGATTACAGGTGGCTAGGTGGTGACTCTTTAGTTTGGAGCCCCGATTCCCTTTGAAAATCCTGCTATTGCTATTACTGCCACCTATCATAACCCTCTCTCCAATAGTTGTAATTATTGTTTTAAAACAATAATAATCGAACAATGTATCTTTGAGTTTGTAACATATAGATGTAATGTGTTAACAGTAATCTCACAAAGAGGGGAAGAGGAATAGAGCTAGGTGGGAGCAAAATTTCTGTATTTCACTGGAACTAATTTAGCATAAACCTAAAGTAGAGTCTGATAAATTTAAGCATATTAGAAGAACTAGAGCAACTACTAATAATACAAAATATAGTGAAAAGATCGTTAAAGAAATTAAGATGTTACACTAGAGAAAATATTCATTTACGATTCCACCTAATGGAAGAATACACATTATTCCCCAGTGTGCATAGAGCATTCTTCAAGATAGACCATGAGCTCTGTCATAAGAAAAGCCTCAGTGTTCCAGTTATTTTGAAAAACTTTAAAAAATAAAAAGCTTCAGTGGATTGCGAAGGATTGGAATTATGCAAAGTATGTTCTCTGATCAAAATGGATTGAAATAAAAAAATCCCCCAATATATAGAAATTAAATAGCAAACTCCTAAATAACTAGTAGATCAAACCAAAAAATCACAAGGGAAAGGAGAATTCACTTTGAGATGCTGCAACATGGATGATGTTAAGCTGAGGGTGATACCTGAGGATATTATACTAAGTGAAAGAAGCCAGTCAACAAAGGAGAACCCACGTGATTCTATTCATATGTGGTATGTAAAGCAGTCAGACTTTATAGAAACAGAAAGTGGAACGGGGCCATCAGGAGCTGAGTTGGGGTGAATGAGGGGTGGCTGTTCAGTAGTTACAGAGTGTTAATTTCATTGTAAATATTTTAGAGATCTGTTGCACAACAATATGCAACAGATACTTTACATTACTGAATACTTAACATTACTGAATTGTACATTTAGAAAACCCAAATTTGTTCAATTTCATGTTGTATGTTTTGTTTTTAACAAATTATAAAAGAGGATAATTAATCTAAATTTATGACACACTCTTCCAAAAATAGAACAGGAGGGAATACATCCCAACTCATGTCTATGATTTGAAAACCTAAAGTTATCACAAGGAAATTGCAGACTAGTACCTATTATGAATTTAGACATTCTCAACAAACACTAGCACATAGAACCTAGAATATTTAAAAAGCATTATACACTCTGACCAAGTGGGATTTAGCAAGCCAGGATTGCAAAGCTGCTATAAAACTGGAAAATCAATTAATGTAATATGTCATATGAACAGAATAAAGAAAAAAATCATATAATCATCTCAGTAGACACAGAGAAAGCATTTCACAACATTTGACATGATAAACATACTCAACACACTGGAAATAAGAGAACATATGAAATCTAATACAGGACATCTATGAAAGACTCAGAATTAACAGTGTACTTGATAGTGAAGAGAGCTTCCCCCCAAGATAAGAGCCTGCTTCACCAGCTTTATTCCTTATATACTTCAAGTTATAGCCAGGAAAATTAAATAAGAAAACAGATTGGGAGTAAAATCATCTGTATTTGTAGATGACATGATATTATGTAAAAAACTAAGGACTACACTGGAAAGCTATTAGGACTCATAATGAGGTCAGTAAGATTGGAGGATACAAGATTAATACACAAAAGTCAATTTTATTTCTGTTTAATAGAACTCAGCACACCAAAAATCCAATTAAGAAGACAGTCCTATTGACAATAATATCATAAAGAATAAAATATTTAGGAATAAATCTCACAAAAAAGTATAAAACTTATACTTGTGAAAACTATAAAAATTGTTGAAATAAAGAAGATTTAAATAAATGGAAAAGCATCTTCATATACTGGAGACTGATATTGTTGATATGGGAATACTCCCCAGTTGGATCTGCAAATGTAATGCATCCCTGTGAAACTCCTAGCTGGCCTTTTTGATGAAGTTGATGAACTGATCCTAAAATTCATATGGAAATGCAAAGAACTCAGAATAGCCAAAATAAATTGGAAAAAGAACAGTTGAGATGCTACAACATGGATGAATCTTAAAGATATTGTACTAAGTGAAGTAAGCCGATCAACAAAAGAATGATGATTCCATTCACTTGAAGCATGTCAAGTAATTGAACTCACAGAAACAGAAGGTAGAGAGGGGAGTGGTGGTCAGGACTAGGTGGTGGGAAACATGAATGTCTATTGAGTTCTGTTTCGGTGTAAATATTTGAGATTTCAAAGCTTCCTTCAAAATGATGGCAATCAAAACGGCATGGTATTAGTAAAAGGATAGACAAAGAGATTGATGGAATAGAATTGAGGCTTCAGAACTAAACTCACAACTTCATTGTCAATGGGTTTCTTCTAACAAGGCTTTCAAGATCAATTAGTGGGGGAAAAATAGTCTTTTCAATAAACAAAGATGGGACAGTTGGATACCCACATGCAGAAGAGTGAAGTTGAATTCCTTCCTCACACCACATGTGTCAACCTAGAAATAGATCAAAGATCAAAGACCTCAACATAAGAGCTAAAACTACAGAACTCTTAAAAGAAAGCACAGGAGTAAATCTTCGTAGCCTTGGTAGTGGTTTCTTAGGTATGAGCAACTACAGAATAAACAGATAAACTGGACATCATCAAATGAAAACTCTGTGCTTCCAAGGACACCCTCAAGAAATTGAAAATAAATCCACAAAATGATAGGCAGTTTTATACATATGCATAATTCTTGTACATAAATAAAGAACTCCTGCAGTTCAGTAATAAAAAGAAAAAAGCACTCTGCTGAACACCTTTCAAGGCGATTTGCAGGGGTTACTGTGGCAGTAGGTGAGAAGACTACCTGAGACTGGGAGGAGGAGGGGTTGGGTGGCAGAATTATGAGTATTTCCAAGGGGAGGTGATGCCTGAAGTGAGCCTTGGAGGATAAGAAGGATTTAGGCTTGGAGAAGGCAGAAAAAGGCATGGCAGGTGAAGGACCAGTGCAGGCAATGACTTGGAATGGGGCAGGGTATGTTGCTTCCAGCTAACTACAGGTGTATGACCTGCCCTGGGCAAAAGAGATGTTTTGGGGCAGGTCAAGTATAGCTCTTTTTTTATAACACCATAGTGGATTTCGTTGACCAGGTTTTAAGGCCATCCTGCAGAAGACAGGCAAGCTCTTTTTTCTCCTGTGCAAAGAATGAGAGCCTACATTACTTAAATAGCCCTGCGGCCTGGTGGAAGCTTACTCTCAAAGGGTACAGTGGTTTTGTAATGCACCTTTATAGATCTTCCCTGTTCTAGAGTTTATCTTTCCCTTTTGGAAGTCAGAGATTAAAAGACTTCTTGTTATTTTTTAATGAACTTATTAGGGAGCTATATCATCATACCCTTAGCACTGTAGGAAATGGAATCAAGCAGAATATTTGCCCCTGCACCAAGGAGGAGCCGAGGCTTGGGGCTGAATTCTCTGCAGGGAACTTTCCGGGTTACATGCATTTTCTGTGATCCCTCTTTTGTAAATAAGCAATGCCATGTTCGAAAAAATGACCCAGGAAAACAAATTACCTGTAAAGGAGCTCCATATGAGGTGGAGGGAGGTGGAGGGAGGTGGAGGGAGGTGGGGGGAGGTGGGGGGAGTAGGTGTGTCGGGGGAGCTGTAGGGGGCGTGTTTATCTGGATCTTTATAAGTTGGTGATAGGCCTTTTTGCAGGAGGCTCCTTCTGCCTGGTGCTATAATTCTAGGCACTGGCTTCCTAAGCAGCTCCCGTAGGCAAGTCCAGAATACCCAGTCTCTGGCAGCAGTGTGCTTTTTGTCAACACTGCTCGGGGGGGGGCACATTTTATTTTGTAATTCTGATTTATTTGCCATCTGTGAGGAGTAGAGTTTTGATTCCACTCTCTGAAGTAGAATATGTGTTGACTGCTTCCCAGCTCTGCGTGGTGTCCCTGGCGCTATTCAGAACTCTCATCGGTTTACATTGTGAAGATGTGATGTTACAACTAGTTTTAAGGTGAGTTACCCCCCACCTTTGTGTGTGTGTCTATGTGGCTCCCTTTAAAGCAAAATTAATTGTATGCTATTAGTATTTTATTTTTACTTTGGTAATATAAGCTAAATACGAGCAACACTTCTAAGGAAGAACGTCATCAAGAGCATCAATTTAAATTTTGCATTGTATCCCAAGGTTAATTTCAGTTTTATTCTGTGAAGTTTTTTTTTTTTTTGGCGGGGGGGGGGGGGGGGGGGTATATGCATCTTATTATAAATGTGTTCCTAGAAACATCATGTAGATTATTTGGAAATTTTCACAAGTATCATGAAAGCTCTTTGGCATGGTGGTTGAAGTTCTTTCTCCTGAAGTATGTTTATTAGGGATCTTTGTTATTAAAAACAACTATCCCAAAGATGAAAAGCTGTTGAATACAATTTGGCTTTTTCTTTGGTAGTGGTACACATCTAGTGTGCACTATCAGATCTGTGATCATGTTTCAATTAAATTTCATAAATATTTAATCAGCATTTTCCATGTGCAACTCTGCAGGGAGGGAGGTGTGGGAGCAGCTGAGCTAACAGGACTTCTCCTCAAGGTGGCCCAGATGGCCCTCAGTACAGGTGGAAAGAGTTCACTAGTGGTTGGTGGGTATTGGGAGTCAGAACAGACTGCTACTGAGATACTTGATTTGGTGATGCAGGTAGGAGACTCATTGGCACCAAGTCTTACCTTGGCCCAGCCAAGCTCTTCTCTAGTCCTCAAGGGAAGCATCTGCTTTTGTGTAGGGGTTCCACCCCACACCCCAGTGCATAAATCTGTAACACCCCAGGCTACCCCATGCTGCTCTTCCTCCTCTTCTCTGAACCCAGATCCTGAATCTTGGGATTGACTCCTTGAGTGAGACCCATCCCAGCAGTACCAGCAACAGAGATAGATAGAAAGTTGCCCCAAAGCCGAGAGGGGAGTGAGGGCCAGGGCTGGGAGATGCTCCTGAGGAGAGTTGGTCAGGGTTTGTGCTGACACTCCCTTGCTGTGGTTAGAATGGAAGAGAGAGCCAGCATCCCTCAGCCGGCCACCCCCTTCTCCTTCCTCACAGGACTTCCTGACCCTCACTTGCCCGTCCTTCAGAGTAAGGGTGGATGAAGCAGAGAGCAGGGAAGAGGGAGTAGCCCTGGGCTTTCCTTAGTTCACATTGGTCATGATTGGAGTGGAGAGTACGGAGGAGAAGGCATTTAGGGTGGATGTCACAGCATTTACAAATAGGTATCTTGGGAAAATTAAGGGGGCGTTGATCCTGGAAGAACAGCAGCAGCAGCAGCAGTACCCCTGGAGCTGGTCAGGAATGCAAGTTCTCAGTCTCCTCCCAGATTCTCCCAACTCAGAAGCTGTGGGGTAGGACCCAGAAAGCTGTTCCAACACCTCCTGAGGATTCCAAGACCCTGATAAGCTCCAGAATCAACTGAAAGCTGGTGCAGAGCAGAAGGGAGCGGTTAGATGATGAGTCCAGAAAAGTTGGTAGCTGTGTGTTGTGGGGGGCCTCACGGAGGTGCCGCTTTATGGGAGAGTTTTACCTATTAGATTTTTAAGTAAAAAATGTTTTTGAACTTTTTAGGGTTGAGATCAGGTCATCAGTAACTAATCTTAAGGCATTAGCAGAGAACAAATCCTGTCATACGGTGGCGCCCTGGGTAGTCTGTCCTGAAAGGATGACTTGAGTCCCAACAGGTCTCCACTGACGCGATGGAAGCTTTAACCAGGCCTGGAGGGAATCCAGAAGAGCAACCTCTTGAAGTCTCTTATTGCCAAAAACCAGGCTTTTACTCCTAGGTGGTAGAACTGGCTTGTATTTTAATGTCAAATGCTTAAACACTGCTTCTTTGATGGCAGGAAGAGCAGCTGGCTCTTCAGTGTACCTGGAAGCCTGGCCCCTGTCCAGAGGCTAGAGCGTCTCCACTGTGGGTCAGCCATGTGGGTCAGGACGGCTTTGGCCCAGGTGATGGCAGGGTTGCTTGCTGGCCATTCAGTGACCTTTACAAGGTGAGCTCTGATCACCTTTTCTCTGCTTCTAAAGCCTTACTTGTAGTATTAAAAACTGTCCTCAGAGATGGCATTAGCCAAGGCGGCTTCTGGGACCAAGACATGTACCTTATGAAGATGGAGAAACCAGCTCATGTTTGAAATAGGAATGTGTCCAAGTCTGGGCTAGTCATTTCCATAGAGGGTAAGAACAAGTAATTTCCCAGAAAGTGCCTGCAGGGCATGTTGTCAAAGTTCTTGATGGTGTAATGCACCAAAGGCTGGACCTGAGCTGGCTCCTTCCTCCTCCTCCTCTCTCTCCTTCTTTCTTTCTTTAATGAGGATGATGGAGATCATAATACCATAATAGAGTTGTTCTTTTTTTTGGTGGTACTAAGGATAATCAGGGCCTTTTGCATGATAGGCAAGTGCTCTGCCACTGAGCTACACCCCCAGTCCCGATATGGTTGTCTTGATTGAATGGTTCCTCTATTTCTTTTAATAGTTTTTTAGTTGTATGTGGGCATAATACCTTTATTTATTTATTTTTATGTGGTGTGGAGGAAGGAACTCAGTGCATGTGCTCTACTACTGAGCCACAACTCCAGCCCTGGTTCCTGTATGTCTAATTTTCCTGCACTGCTGGGGGAATTCATGGAGAGAGAGAGGGAAAAGACGCACACAAGAGGCCATTGTTCCTGGTCTCCTTCCTCTGAACTGCTCTTTTGCTCTGACCTGTTCTGGTTTTGGAATGTGCTGCCTCATAAGGTTGTGAAGATCATGTGTGGTGATACATGTGCAAATATTTTAAAGTGCTGTGAAATATTATACAAATTTAGGGAGGGAATTCTTTAGAAAGTTTAACCTTAAACTTATGAAAGCAGTTATCTTCTCTCATTTAGAATGTCTCCAAAGCAACAACAATGAAAACTCTATTCTTCTAGTCATGTAAACTTTAAAGGACATAAAAAAATAGATTTATAACCCATCCTTTTTTTTTTTTTTTGCTACCATTACTGTCTTTCAAACGTTCATGGCAAACTCAGAGTTCACAGAGGCCCTAGAGCAGTAAAGATTGTATGAATGCTTTTTAATGAAGTTATTTATTATGTGATAAATAAATGATAACCTTATGTCACTTTCTATTGCAACTCAAATGCTCTTATACATTGACACTTCAAAGTGATATTCCATTCGTAACAGATACAAGTTTCTCTCATTTGACAAGGTATCAGAAAAGCAAGTGGAAATAAGACACCCCAGGAGAGGATATTTTAGTGAGCAGATAACCAAGAAGTCACCCACCTCCTTGGAAGTGACATGTGATAGGCCAAGGACAGACAGGCAATGCTGACAAGCAGTGAGGTGACAGATTTGCCCCTGTATTCCTGGAACGTCCCCAGTTTAGGTGAAAATTTAATTGATAGACACCTGAATGCTGTTTCTGAGTATCCCGGTTGGCATTTCCTTCCAGAAATGCCCGTGTGCACCACGTCACCGTTAGGTTCCCGTAGCAGCTGTTGTGCTTGGAGAGAGGCCGCGTGTGCACCTGAGGAATGCTGCCCTCTTCCCGTTGTTGGGATGTGCAGCCGGGGAAGGCAGGAGTGAGGCAGGCGCCGGGGAGGAGGAGTGGAGCCGTGGCCAGGCCGACTCTCTCTGAGCCCTCTGTTGCAATGGTGCGGTCTGGGATGACTGTCATCTCAGGAGAAGCGCCTTGCTCACCTTGCTGTATGTCACTGCTTTGTTTTGTTTTTCTCATCAGTGTAGCAATAAGTAGGATGTGTGCTTTGTCACCATTCCTGTCATTGGCTTGTGACAGAAGTGATGGTTTATTTTAATGAGTGATATCCAGGAACAAAGGAAGTAGACCCAGGGTTGGAGAATTAACGAAAACCGAGAGGACAATGTGGACATTTTTTTCCCTACTGTGATGGGAGATGGGTTCAAGTCATCTGGACGTCTAAAGTCAATAACTAATCTCTGACTAGTTTTACATCTTTCTGAATTTAAATACAAATAAGATAAAGTGATGACAGATACCTACGCTAAGTGCTTATGTGAGCTTTCTGCTATGGACAGCCACTTTGTTTTGATATTTGACATTTTAGAAGTTTCTAGCATTCATTCCATTCCCAATTTTTCCCTCTAAGTGATGGAAAGACAGAGGGTTGGGTAGCGTTTGTCTGTTCCTTCTTCTGTGAGGATCCTTCATTTTAAAGACCCTGTGAAATGACTACCTTCAATACTAGGGAGGTTATTCATTTGAATGGACGCCCCTATTTCCAATTTCATAGAACCTCCTCTTTAACCGACAGGGGATCTCCCTTCAATTGATTTATTCAGAAGAAAATCCTTAGTTTCTCCTGCAAGCATGTATTTGCAAAGTTGCAAATTGCTAGTAACTCTTTATTCTAAAACAATTTCAAGCTACTGACTGGTGGTATCTGATAAATAGCTTTATTAGCTTTGATCCGGTGTTCTTTTTTTTTTTTTTTTAACACTTCCAACAACAGTAGAAATCTGTGTATATCAACTTAAATCAGGAAATATGTTTGGTTTGAGCTGCAAGTACTCATTGAGTTCCTGAAGTATATAAAAACATTGAAGTAGTTTATTCCATAAATAATTAATGACCGGAGATAGAAGATGGCGGCGAGGGGAGTACATTGCCCCCGTGTGCTGCTTCACTGTGTGGGAGTATGACAAGTCAGGACGGCTAAAGGCTATCTTGTTAGGAATTTCCAGCAATAGTGGGGTGCTCCGGAACCTGGAGGAAGGATTTCCATCGCACGAGGATCAGCTACGGGGACTCAAACGCGAGAGGTTTGTCGCACGGAGGGTAACACTGCTTATTCAGCAAATCGCCCCGCGGCTAGAGTCTGCAGCGTGCACTGGGAAACGAGGAGATAGCGACGCAGGGATACAGCGCTGCAGTTTCTGCCAGCCGTGCAAGCACCGTACTCAGGGACGGGGGAAGGAAGCGGTCCATCTCGGTTCTCCAC